AATAAATAAATAAAACCGCAAAAAAAGGTAATTATTTACAAAAAAAAGACCAACAAAACATTGGGAGCGTATATTATGCTCCTACCATTTATCATACTGCAAATAAGTCACAGGAAAAATTAAACTATTAGTTATTATTATTAAACTGCAAACGTGAAGAAACATGCAGCAGGTCAAAAACTAAACTTAAACCGAAACTGGTTCTGGTTCGGTGCATTGGACCCGGTGTTACACCATACTGACCTGCAACAGTGCAACACCGCCCCCTACGGCCATACGGTGGTCACATAATATGACGTCACTACGAATACTCGACATAACATTTTTAACCTCGATAGATGTCCTAGCAATCGATGTGTAGATTACTCGAGTACTCTGTTAATGCCCTAACTGCAACAGATGAGAGTTCTGCGATGGGGTTAAATTCAAAGTAGTCTGCTCCTCAGATAATTATTGTTAACTTAATTTTATATAAATTAATGTTTCTGTTCAGTGCCCTGAGATGACTTCTGTTATGACTTGGTGCTATGTAAATAAACTGAATTGAAGTGAATTGAATTTACTAAAAGTACACTCTGGTCAGAAATATAAATGTGTGTTTGTGTCACATCAACTGGTGTCTCCCAGACAAAGGTTCAGAAAATGATTATACCACCAAAATTTTAATAAGGTTTAACTGATAAACGTTAGCATTACATGTATGTGGATTTTGCAAAAACAAAAACTGCATCATCAAAATACAGGTACATGTATATTAAATTAAAAGCCAAACATTCCTTTAAAAACACATGTATTGCTTACTGCCTTTCATGCTAGTTTTAAAATATAATAATATTATGTTGAGACATGACAAAGCTGCAACTAAATTAGCCAAAACTTGAAAGTCACAGCTGCCCAATCTCATATGATAATATGAGTTATGCTCAGAGTATGGGATGTTCATGACTCAGCTACTATCACACTAAATTTCAATTATCTCTAAAACTGACTGAGTTGCAGCTTTGTCTGAGTTGGTTCTTGTCAACTAGCTGTTGCACAATTATTTTCTGTTTCATTAAAAACTATCCAGTTGTTCCTTAGATGTTTTGCTAGCAGACAGAAATAGTTTAACTCCAACAGATCTGGCAAGTTTTAAAAACAGATCTAGCATTCATCAGCTAACATTCTGTTTATGTGACATGAGTGTGGTGGCAATTTGTGTCCAGTGGTTTAGTGATGCTAAATTAAAATCCAAGCTCAGAAGAAGCTCGTCTGCAAGAAATAAGGCATTCACAAATTTAAAAAAAAAAAAAAAGAGAGAGAATACATTTGATCTGAGAAATAAATCAAGAGTTTACAATTTGGATCTTCTGAAATGGTGTGCTGTCTAATAGTTACCAGTATCAGCCTTGACATCCGTCGTACAGAACAGAAACTGGAGAAAAAGGCTAAACTCGTCCACGCTAGGCTAATGGCTAGCCAAACGAGGGCCCAGTTTTTTGTGTTTTTGAAGCTTAGAAAACAACTTTCTCACAAACAATGTAGACCTACTGCTGTGAAAGAATGCAACTTTAGTTTATGATAAGTTTTTGCACTTTTACAGGACACCATTTGTTTAGTTTGTTGCTGTTTCCTTCACCCAACAACATTCGTGTTACTACATGAATGTTTGCTTGTTGAACCTACACTAGGTTTCTGATGGTCTGATACTGAGAGACTACTGAATGTATCATTGTGTACAAGCCGTTTATCAGTCCACAAGATAACTCTGGATTGAAGCGTTCAACAGCCTCAGCATGAACGCTCTATGCTCGGTTCACATTAACTACTGAACATTGGCATGGTGACATAAACATTATAACTACAACAAACTTAACAAACAGTGTTAAACAAACATGTAGAGGTTTCTATTAGCTAATGTAGCGCTCTTTCACACAGGTGTGTCATGTCTGAGAACATTGTTTTTAAGGCCAAAAATAATTTGTAAAGTCCATGTTTAGCTAGCCATTAGCCTAGCTTGCAGGAAGATTTTTGCCCTTTACTTTGTACTCCGTCTCCTGAATGAAGTTACGGCTGATAAGGTTTTAAAGTGATTATGACATGCATATCTTACAAATACAAAAAGTGGGGGGGGGGGAAAGCTTAATATTTAAGAAATTTGGCATTATACACATGATTTGTCTCCATTTTTTTCTCATAACTGGAATATTTTTCTTTTGAACTTAGCACAGCTAAAGTGAAACAGGAAGTGACATCAACGGGGATCTCTAAAAACAGGAACTCCCTCATCTTTGTTTGACACAACAGTATTATTTGAACTCTCACTTCATTTCTCTCTAATAGTAACTCAAAACATTCTAAGGAAATAGATTCATCCCATTGTAGCCATGCTTGGTTCACTTGTAGACGTCCCCCTCATCATTTCCTGTTACTGTGCATGTGAATATCTCATGAACTGTTCATCTCAGCAGTGTGATTTTATTTGACAGACCATCACTTCAAAAATCCCCAAACAGTCCATTTGGTCCATTTGGTAGATTTAGTTGTTGAGATAGAATAACATGACAAAGGAGCTTTTTAGGCTCTTTGTAATAAAGTTGAGTGATGAGTCTTTTCTCTTGGGGAATGTAAATTACATCTTAACTTACTGATTTAATTACCTAATCTATTGTTTATTGGTGATGTGATAGAGTTGGAATGGGGAACATTAAATTTAAAACTATTGGATGTGATAAAAGTTTTATTCCGAATAACGTGATGGAACTATGTCAATATTTCATTCATAAAACGTAATCATTAGAAGTCTCAGAACATAAATATTTTATGTAGGATGCTGGGGTGTCTGGTGTTTATGTGCTTTCTTACTGCAAACTGTTTATTCTGTTTTTCTCTCGGCTTTCTGACTCCTCCTAACTAATGAACCAACCATTTCTTTCAGCGATGGCTCGTGTTAAATGTTCCACTAAATCAACCGCTAATACTACGACAGGCACACTTTACATTTTTAGACGTTTTTAATGTTTACATCTACTATTTTTTCTAGGGTTTTTATTTTCTTAACCACTGCATTGACCTCCTTTGAATGTTCTGCTTTTAAAAAGCTTTTGATTCCTACATCATGGAAGAAGCCAAAAATAATTCAACTGATTGTTTGGATTCGATCTGATAAAATCTTTGGGCTACAATTTTTAGACACCAAGGTAAAATGTTTAGTACAGAGAGAAGTAAGAAAGTATTTTTAGAGGGCGTCCCTGAATCTCCTGATTTTTCATTCTGACAAAGACAAAAGGGTAATTATCGTTTTTTTTACTGTGCCCGTATGACAAACTTTAATGAAACGCTGGGAAAAGTATTAACTGGATGTACATTTACAACTAATTACCTTTTGAAGTCAATTAATTCAAGATTAATGCCACGGCCAACTAACTTCACCTCAGCTAATTCTAAACTTTCAGCTACAATTTTGTGTAGTAGCTTTTTATATATATATTTTTTTATATACAGGTTAGTCTCATTGAGTCACAAGGACTCCTTTTTAAGAGAGACCTGTTTTAGACAGACAACATATAGAGTACAAACAACAATTTAGAACAATAAAAAGCAATTAAAATAAAACGTAGTGTTATAAAAAAAATAAAATTAAGATTAATTATAAAACAAAGTAAAATACTAAACACAAGAACATAATGAACATAGCATAGCTGACAATCATTGTCTAAAACGTTGGCATTAAATGTTGGCGTCAGCTTTGTCTGTCTGTTAGCAGAATATTTCATGAAGTGCTGGATAAACTTTAATAAAAACTCTCCCAAAGTAACTGGATTTAGATCTATAATTGATAAACTATTGGACTTACCACAAGTCAAAATGGCCAACACAGCAAATCGACATAAGCCAAATGTCTATGACTGTCGGTTTTACAGATTTTGAGCTAAGATTTGTTGTGGTAGTAGCTGAGACTCATCATCAACACACTGAGTGCAAGCACATTTTTTAAAGTTATCACAATATCACGAGTGTGCATGACGTCGTTTACAAAGTCTGACCAGAATGACTGTAACTCGATCTTTGACAACACTGATATTAAAGGTGGTGGAGGGCAACATGCATTGATTTTTATTGTTTTTATTTTGTTTGGCATTTCTGATTGTGTAAGTTTTTATTTCTACATTTTGTTTTTGTTCTCAGATCAAAATGAAGTTCAGTCTAAAGTTTGCTTCCTGAATGTTTAAAATGCTGGTTTATTAATGAAAAGGTTCTTTGTTCCTCCGCACATCCCCTGTGTGAGTCGTGCTTGATGTCTTCCTGCAACCAGGAACACGGAGCCACCCATGTGTTCTGTCATACATTATTTAATCCAGCCAACAGCTAAAGGTAGAAAAAGACTAGCTAAAAAGTAACAAATCGTTAACTACAAGCTAAAAGTAAAAAAATGCAAATTAGTAGCTAAATGTAGCAACATTCACACAATCAGCTGAAATGTAGAGAAACGGTTTAGTTTTTAGAGAACTGTGTTTATGAGGGAGCTTCTCAAATGTTGTCACGTTTGCAGTGTTCTCAACATCCTTGCATGCGTCACAGAGTTGTGTAGCCTTTTCTTTTGAGTTTTGAACATATTTTTAAAACTTGTCAACAACTTTTATTTTGAAATAATCGCAAAGTTGTGGTGGCCTTTCCAACCTGCCTCGAGAACGTTGCGTGTTGACCACAGCACAGGAGATGTCTCCTGACAGACACAAGTCCAGGTCTACAGGCCATGCCAGTGATAGATGGTTATTATTTTAAAGATTATCCAAATCTTCCTATTTTCATTTCAAAAGTGTACTATTGTTAATGAAATCATAAATGTGTGGACGGCTGTCAATGTTGGCACCAAACATGGGTAGAAGTGGGCGATTAATTATTGTTCAAAGACAAGACCACAGATTTGCAAACCACACATCGGTCATTTGGTCACAAACATTCAGAATTCAATGATCTCGCAACAAAAACATTTTAATATAATTTGTCGCAATTTCCCCAAAATTTTGAATCACCAACTAGTCTCGAGGAGAGATACCACCTCTAGAGCAGGCCAGAGGACATGAGCAATGTGAGAGGAGAAAAAAAAGATGAGAAAGTAAGAAGACATATGGTCCCACTGCTTACTTTCTGAAAACCAGGTGTCTGCACCTTCACCCACTCACACTCGTGCACACACACCTGAGTCACAAGCCATATAAATATCCTTTGGGCCATATGAGGCAGATGGTAAAGTGCGTGTTAATCCCTCGCCTCCCTCCTGAACTGACCCTGCCACAAACTGTAAACAGCGGCAGACTGCCAGGAATTCTCCAAAGACATTAGAGGGTAAACACCACAGCAAACTGTAACCAGAAGTTGACACGGCCATCTTCAAGCAGCCAAGCCAGTTAACGCTCTGCCTGTTTTTCCTCTCCCAGGTGTGTATTCCATGTCTGTGTCGGAGGATAAAGTACCAGGAGAAGAGGTTGGACGTCTGAAGGCCAAAGACCCGGATCTAGAAGACAACGGACTTGTAAAGTACTGTTTAATAGATGGAGATGGAATGAACATGTTTGAACTGACAAAAGACTCAGAGACCAGAGAGGCTGTTATTAAACTGAAGAAGGTAAGAAATGCTGGACAAACGCTGAATGACTAAAAGTTCCACGGGAGGGGATGGTTTTTGACGGAAACTGGTGGAGGGAGGGCAGTGTGTTAGATTGACCTTAGTTGACAGCAATCAGATGATATATTTATTTCTAAATACACTAAACAAGGCCAACTTGTGTTTAATAAGTTGAATCTTAATCAACAAAACCAAGTACCAAAAATTCTGCACTGATATTTGGCCCCTGAGGAGGGAGGCTAAAACTTTACAGTCAATTTTATCATTGAGTGCATGTGACAAGCTAGTAAAATGAGTCAGAATGAGCAGAAGCTACAATGCAAAGAAAACATGAAACTGTTGATTGTTGCCATAATTTACATTTGCATAAAAGCGTGTCCACAAAGACGCCATCTACCAAGATCAAACAACTTAAATACCAATATATATGTGTGTATATATATATG